TACCTATTATTTTCTTTATTTTTCATCTTTTTCTAATCGCCTTTCCCTTGGACAAATTGTTCAAATCATGTATTAGGTTTTTCTGTGCTTTCGAAATAACTACTCCTCATATTGCCAGTTTTCGGAAGAGTTGGAGAGAAGTTTGCTCCTGCCTACTATCTCGTTTTATATTCTTCTTAGTCTTCATCTATCTCTCATTTTATTCTCTTTTCATCAAACATCTTTGAGTATTTTTATAATCAAATAATCTGGTTTGTTTTACAACAACAGAAGGATGATTTAAAAAGGATGGAATTCACTATACGTACATCTTTAGAAACTACAAGGGATGTTAATGAATTGTCGGAGATTTCCAATGAGTAAAAGTTCTGCTGGTATCAACTCACTACGCTCGATGCTGGATTTCTTGACTTATACTGGTTCTTGGTAACTACGTAGTTAATCTGTTGAAGAGGCCTTGATCTATCGTTCCAGCTATCGAAATGAATTTTCTGAAATGTCCTTATGACTCAAAGTCTCTTATGTACATTTCTAAGTTTCCGAAAATGAGAATAACACTTTGACAGCACGTGAAAATTTATTGGCAAAGATTCTTAGGTTCCAGTGGCATCATTTTCAGTTAATAAAGTTGGTTACGGGTTGAGTTATTTTCACTTGAACTTGAAAGGCATGTGATCATTGCGACTAATACGTATTGTCCTCAAGAATGTAGTCTTTATTTGTTAATGAACAGTTCAATAATTAGACGACAGACCTTAAGGTGAATTATGAAGCACGTTAGATTTTCGTGGAGATTGTTGGTGAATAGTGACGAAGAGTGGAAAGAAAACGGCGCATGACATGAAGTGAGTGACAGAGGAAAACTAAGTATTATTTGGTGTTTTTCTGGATTACCAACCCAGAACGAGGTTGGTTTTAGAAAAAGAAAAAGGGAAAAGAAGTCGATAATCGACTCGAGTCCGTCCAGCTCTGAGGAAAGGGCCGAAAATTTAGCCGAATAAAACTTTTTGCTAACCTTTTGATAGCTTAATAATCTATGAAAGCATTGATTATTAATGTCAAGAATAAATGAATGTCGGCTTTCAAAAATTTTGGCAATATTTTATTCAGCACATTTGCGACAGAGCTGCGTTTTCGACACCTTCTAATGAGTTCTCAGTAAAAGGATTTCTTTCCATCTTCACCATCGCGCGTGTGGCGTAATGGTCGGAGGTACACTGCAACGCGCGTGGAATCGATCTCCGCGCCCATGGCCCACCAAGCCTTCCATCCCTACAGGGTCGGCAAGTTGGTACCAGACTTGTTTGGGAGAGTAGAAGCACTGTTTCGGTGCATCGATAAGCCACTGCAAGTCATTGTAAAGGCCAGACATGCATTCTATCACCTCCAAACGATGCTTAATGAAGTCGAATATACGGTGCATCCTCCAGAGATTGATCAACGCCGAGAGCTTTACAGTTTTTTTGTCCTCATCTTCATAAGGGCAAATGTAGGCTTTTTTAAGTGTTCTTCTGGTCTTAAAAGTTTTCAAAATTCATTTTTTCAGAAACCTGAGAAAGCATGGCAATCCCAAGCAATAACGTGTTAGGTGATACCATTACGTCCGTCTAGACGGAATCCCGCTTGTTCACACGTTTCTCTTTTTTGGGAATTCGAATTTCGATGTGAAAAGAAAAGAAAGAAGAAGTTCGTTGTTGCTAAATAAGTAGCGGAGGTTACATCTTCTCATCTTATTGGCGCTGATCTGTTAATCACAATGACCTTTCCACAATTTAAGCTGAGGTGGGCGTGCTTAAATTTGGGACGCGAAAATACTTTTGGTCACTTGTGCAATTAGATCAATCCACGTTGTCGTGAATGTGTTAAAGTTGCACTTGACATAAGTGTCGATTTTTTAGTTTAATGTTTTCTTGACAAGCAGACCCGATGTTGTTAGCACAACATTTATTCGACATTGGGTAACGTTCGGATTTCGTCTTCTTTGGAGCCTAGAGAGGGTTATATTGGTATGCGATCTACTCAGCTAAGTGCTTTCATACTGTTAGCGGAAAAGAATAATGTTTGTAGCAAGTCGGTTCTCGAAGCTGCTACTGATTTTGTGCTTTGGTGTCTTCGTTTTCGACAGCTCGTATAAGTGGTTTATCGTAGGCTGAAAGTGAACATGATCTAAGTGTGAACATGTTGTAAACATGGCATATCGTAGGCAAGAAATGAAGTCGGTGCAAATGTGAACGCGCCGTACACTCGGTATGTTGTAGGCAAAAAGTGAAGTCGGAATGTGAACGTCTCGTACAGCCGGTATGTCGTAAGCAAAAAATGAACAGGTCCAAATATGAAGGCGTTGTGCACACGATATATGGTGGACAGAAAATGAACTTGGTCCCAGTGTGAGGGACGTCGTTTCCGTCTATGTCGTAGTTTAAAAATGAACTCGAGAATCGATCGGACGTGACCACACTGAGAAAGCTTGTTACTTCGTAGTCTCGTGATTCATATTATTGTTAGGTTTTTCTTAAACTTTTATTGATTCATAAGCAGATCTTTATAGACCCATTATGGATAATTTAAATGACATAAAAAAGAACTTCAACAAAACAAGAAAGAAACAAAGGAAATGATTCTGACGCCACTAAATCCCGTTCGTTGTTTACATTTCGATTTCCATATAATCAATATCTATAGGTTGCGCAGTGGCTACCATCCCACCTTGGATCTAATCACATACAGTGGACGTTGCTAATACAGTTCATGGGCGAGGGACTGAACGAAGGCAGTTATAGAGCATTTGTGTCGAAGTTATTTAACTGTTAGAAAGTGTTCGACACTACAGTACCACTAATCAAGCATTGCTAATCATGCTTACTTGTCTGTGTTGCTATGCTACGCATCACTATTATCCACTATATATTTCTAACAGAATTTATTACTGGTATTATGTTGTATATATTTATATGCATATATATGTGAATATATATATATATATGCGTGTGTGGTTGCCTCTGTGTGTGTATGTGTGTGTGTGTGTGTCTGTGGTGGTGTGTGTGGTGGTGTGTTTGTATGGGTGTACGGGTGTATGGGTGCGTATGCGCATACATGTGTTGTATTCTTATTATGGAAACTGAGCAGGCTTTTCTTCTTTGCACTTTTGAGAAACCCGTGCCGCCGGAGAGTTCCGACATCTCCGTCACAACCCTTGCGGATCGCATGGACTTCACGGCTCTACATCCTTGTACAGGTGTGTAGGAGAGTGTGAACTGACGAAGTTACAATGTTCTTCAAAATCAGGGAGCACTCTGTTGCCACACTGAGGGTAGTGAGTAATTGAAAGGGATTGAAAATTATCAAATGGAATCATTACATAAATGGAGACTCTACGTTCAAGCCACGTGGCATATCAGTGGACTTCTCTGCATATCTCTGTTCTAGTCGAAAATGAAGAAGAATTAGGCTGATTTAGCAGCGGTTTCTCTGGGATAGAAGCTATACTAGTCTTGGTAGCCGACATAGCTGTTTTGTCATACCATAACTGATCCAAGCGTCTTCGTCTTCGTCGAAATACGAAAGTTGGTGACTCTGACAGCTTCCCGCTTGCAATTGCAGTTAAGAGTGCAACTAAGAAGTATGAGTGAAAAGCAAAGCGAGGCCCTCGGCGGTGCAGTGGAAAACATGTCAGCCCTCGGAGAAGGTAGTCTCAGGTTCGATTTGGTCTGGAGTCCATGCTTTACTAATATTTCAGCACGGGAGCTGTTGTATTTCAGTTAAGAATGTTGGATAGTAGAAGGACCTTTCATTTTTTCTAAAGAATGCATATTGTGGGTAGTTGATGAAAAACTGTTTGGAGAAGAAGAATAAGACAAAATGAAAGCATTGTAGATGAGGCTAAGAATGTTTATGTGTCAGCTTAGTAGTTTCTTGAAGTGACCTTTAGTGCAGATTATCGTATGCTAATAACTCTGCGGGATGCCATTTCTAGGGCGGCCGTCATTCATCAAGAAGTTCCTCTTCTGTCTCGCAAATTTGCGAATAACTATACTCTCAGAAGTTTCCTTACTCGATTAGTTTCGATCTCTTTGACTTCTGAAAAAAGAAACAAAAATCATGTACGCTACTCTTCTGTGAAAACACTAATCGCTTAGGTAGATATTTCCACAATATAATTCATTTTTGGCCTAAGAATTTCACGATTAAGGGTTCGTACTAACAGAATTGGAGCGATAGTTTATCTATAAACCAAAAGCTGGTTTTGGACAGAATGTCCTTCATGCATTCACCTCAATGCATAAGCACTAGCAATTACTTGCGCCTTTCAATTTTAAAGGAGCATACTTCAACTGGTACTCAGTCTTACTGATTGAAATAAAAGATATCGGAATCTTCGGTCTTCACTAATAACGTGAAACCTTCTTCCTCACTCTATAGCGATAAAATCTTATTTTTTCTGAACCCCTAGCATGAATATTACCCTTGTTTTTCTTCCTTAGGGCTCGTGTCGCAAACAATGGAGCGATCCTGCTTGGAATATAAAATCGATCGTATGTACCAATGAAATTCTGAAAGTACAAATTTCGTTTTCAGTCTTGAATTTGAACATTAGGATAGTTCAAAACTGAGAGAATATTTTTCGATAAATGATTTATACTATTAGAGCGATAGAGTAAAGTTTCCTCTACAAGCCTAACAGGTCAGGCTCTGTACAGCTCAGCTATTCTCATTAGCCAACAGTTATCGGAAATTAACAAAAAATCGCAAATCGAGCTTTATGTGTTAATATACAAATTCTGACATTCCATTACACAGAATGTGTACCAATTCTTCTATCGATTCCACCAGCGTAATGCCTTTACATTTTTAGCTCAGTTCTTTTATTTTACTTTTATTTTTCTGAATGCGTGATTGATCAAGAATAAGATGTCGCTAGCTATTTCCATTCTTTTTTCCTTTTTTTTTAAAGTTTTCTTTAGCACATGAAAATTGCTAAGAGCTTTTTTCAGCTTGCGAAGATGGCGACAGTTGATGGGGACGTTAAGCCGGCACAGGCTGAACTCGACAGTCAACCGTTTGCAGACAGGTGCTGTTAGGGTCGATCCTCTCCAACTCACTAATTTCGGCAGGATTATGGCCATGTAATAAGTAGATTTCCTCCATATGAAAAATCATATGATATGCATCATTCTTCGCCAAGTTATTCCGACAACGGTGCGGGGCAACCCTCTCTCAACTCACTCAGTCCTGTAACTCATTGACTTTTCCCACACTAGATGCCGCTTCAAGTGACTTTTTCCAAGAAAAACGACGATTGTTCGCACTCTTTGCGGCTTCAGAATGATTTCGACGTAAACGTAGATTCACTTCCCACGGATTTTCAGTAGAATTGGCTTTTGAGGGAAAAGTCGCTAGTTGATTAATGCATTCCTACCAAATAATGTAGCGCAGCGTGAAATGGTGATCTGGGGATAAAATGGATCTTTGAAACCAGCCTTTAAAACTTTTGGCTCCCATATTTGGATTGCTCTTTTTTTTCATCGGAAATTACATAGTTACAGAATAAACGCCGACGGATATAGGGAGAAGTGTCACTCTATATGTGGTCATTGTTTGGATCATTTCCAGTAGATATTCATGTTTTAAACAAAATATCGATGCTCACTTAAGAGTTAGTTCTCAGCCACAATGATGCTGAGATATTTGCAAAGCTCCCACCAACCGACTTTGCTGATTCGTACTCTCTAGATCATTTCCGCTGTTGGGTAACTGCGAGTGGCACCGTTTGGGATAAAAACTTGCTGAGAGAAAGGCAACCGAGGACCTCATTGGTGCAGTGGGTAACCAGTGAACCCTCGGAAAGGTAATCACCAGTTAGAATCTGGCCTGAGGTCTGAGCTTTGAAATATCTCAGCAAAATCGTGGTTGTATTTCACGTAATACCCTTCCATAAGGAAATAAGAAGCAGTAAATAAAAATAACAATAATAAGAATAGAATAACAAGCGAGGACCATCGACTCGGATCATCGGCTCTGAGGAAGACGAAGACGTCGAAACGTTAGCCGAAAATAAACATCATTATCAACCTCGTGTAAGCCCATCAAAGAAAGAATACATATTGATTAGTGATACCGAGGTTCAAGGAAAGTCGGTTTCGAAGTAAATAAAAAGTTATGAATTGCGGACTTTTTAGCTTTGCAGTTTTCTAACTATGGAAATTTGATTCCATTGATTCAGACCATTGGAAATACGAGTGTAACTTGAAAGGAATTCGTCCCAGTACAACTTAAATGGCGTATTTAAGTCACTCGTGATTAAATTTCCATAACTAATTAATTTTAAGCAGTATTAAGGTTGTTGCATTTTATTTTGAGCACGAAACTAGCAAGCTCATTTGTCTTCGGTTTTAGTCGAGCTAGAACATGAAGAAATTGACTCGTGTAAATAGAAAATCACTTGTGACATTTATGCTCCAGCTGATAGTGGAAGCACCTTGGGTGGCTCAAAACAAGCGAAGTCCATTCGTTTCCATCACATGCTGGGGTTGCCAAGTGAATCTGTTCCCATCATATGCTGGGGTTGCCTAGTCACTTCTGTTCACTTGTGGAACTTGAAGAACATATTTTCGTGAACTGATCTCGCTGTTATAATCTTATTGTGCGCTTAGCATAAATCGATTTCTCCACAGAGACTGTAATTACTCTTCTGATTTTGGACATTGAACCATATTCAGTACGGTCGGTCTCGATGTCGGATTTCTTCTTTCACTTGTTTGATCCGAAATATTTCTGGCATCACACTCCTAGTAGTGCTTTCGGTATCACTCACTACCCTTTCATTCCATTTACATAGCGTTCAGGTTTTCGAAGTGTGTGTTAAGGAAGGACATCGAGAAGATGACCACAAAATGTTCCATGTTCTCTTTATAAATCCGTCAAATCTCTTGCCCAGTCTCTATTGGTTCCTTATTGCTCATTTCCGGTGTTAAACCGTTCACTATGTTGCCCGCTCGACCTAGATATGAATAGCAGGAGCATTTGGAGATTTCTTGCTCAGTTAAGCATGGATGGGGTAATAGGAGTGGATTTTTTTCTCGTAAAGATCTTTTCCTTTAAGTCCTGAAGAATCTATGAGGTCGGAATAAAACTCGTGTGTGACCTACATTTGCTGTTCTGGATGCACTCACTCTTGCAGTCTTCCATTTGAACTCCATAGGCGTCATCTGGACATTGTAATTGGCGAAGTCTCAGCGGGTGTCGCGGATGCTTCTCACATACTCTGATGCTTCAGCCTATGCTGCTGTTATTGTTCGTCTAAGATCTCTTGTCGCTTCTCTGCAAAACTTTGCATTCTCGGACGTAAGCTGGTGGTTGTTTACGGCTCTAGAATATCCAAATGTACGCTTAAACGAATTTATTTCAATTCATGAATGAGAAGTATCTAGTCCATACATATGCCGTATATATTTTTCCATGCTTTCACTTTTAAATGTGAGGTTTTATCGATTGTTTCGTCTAAATTCAGAAATAAACACTTCTTAGTCCAAAAGAGTCTTATAGAATTATTCACGTGATGCCGTCTTGTCCTAAGAAATTCGTTAGGGGAAGAAAAGGTTGCACTGGCACTACTGCTTCCTATACTAAGCTTAGAATAATTTCTTTACCCGAGTATAGTAGATCATTCTATAAAAGTTTTTAATCTTTTTTGTTTGTGTTTACTTTTTGTTTGTCAGGGAAGAAACGGTCGCTCACTGAAGAAGAGACGTTCATGTTGTAAGTGAACGGAGTAATTGTATTAATTTGTAGTAATTCAGCGCTTTCAATACTAAGCGTATACTGCTACTATTCGAAACAAAACTGCTACTTACTCTGTGCAAAAATTGTTAGTAAAGATCAAAGTGTGAGAATTTTCATGTCCTTGATAAGGAAGCTCTTCTGACGAAGTCCTTGTTCTCATTTCTTTTGTTAATCCGCTCTCGCTTACACTCCATTATGTTTAGTTGTGCAGCATTCTTTGAGAGCGTAGGTTATGTTTTATACTAACTACCAGTCATCTTCTCATTGACTAGAAATGATAGACGACTTCTGCACATTTCCTGGATGCTATTCCACATATTTCATCCCGGAAACGCGCACTTCTGGCTGAAACTTTGCTAATTTCGGTTGTTTAATGACACATTTTTATCGAGAAAATGCCACTGACGAAACCATTGGAAAAACAAGGATCCACTGAAAAGCTTCGCCCTTTATCTTGATGATGCTAACCTCACGACCGTTGTCTTCAATTCCCCAAGATAGGCTGTCGTATTACTTGTTAAAGTTCCACTTTATTTGTTGCATGGTCCTCGATTTGACTTGGACGTTAGTCGAACTAGAGAAAATCTCCGTGCGATCAACACTAGCCGGCAACTGTCTATGATTAAAAATTGGTAATCCCTTGATACGGCTCTCTCATGTTAGGACGAAAAATACTCTCAAACGGCATGCAGTATTTTAACTACCAAAGATATGAACATTTTTTGCAAAATAGAATTGAAGAAGAAGTGAACAGATCTTTAAGATAGAGCAAAACCCATACACGAACTCGACTCCCTCCGTAAATGACGGTTGCTAGACAGCTAGACGGATGGAGAAGGTGCTGTGGTCCACACGACATCTGAGGAAAGGTGATCCAAATATTTCACTATCCAACAAAAGTAGCAATAGGTCTTGAAGTTACCGTGATTGTGCAATAAGAGAGCATATCCTTTAAATGAAGCTTCAGATGTGTCAACTTTAGTAGCTATAGGTGTTGCATTTCTTGTTTTCTGTGGGGATACATGAATCTTTTGCTCGGATATTGGCTGGCCCGTCTTCACGAATCACGATATCCTAGCACATGTGTCATTCGTTTCGTTCTGCCATGAAAGTCATCCATGGTGATACCCTGCTTAGTACATGGCAACTTCTGCAAGAATGCATATAAGGTTGTGATTAGAAGTGCCCTACGACGCACTCGATCGTTCTTTCGATCGCTTTCCTGTGGTATCCAAGGTTTCTATTATTCCGATTCCTCCGGAGTGGAAAAATTGGTACCAGGATTGTATCGGAGGACAGCATCATTACCTTGATACATCGATAAACCACCACAAGTATAGGCCAGTATGGATTCACACAGTTCTAATGATGCTTGATGATGTCGAATGCATGGCATGTCCTTTAGGGAATAATCAACACCGGATGCTTTTAATTTGCTTCTTATTTAATGTCTGAGAGTACGATTCCATGGTCCATGGACCACTGACCATTACCCATTTCTGGATAGAAATAAATATGGCTTATAAGGCAATGACGCTGTTCACCTCCCGATTATGCGGTTGTTGTCGTGCATTGAAAATTCTGCCCTCACTCGATCGGAGCTTCTCGGCAGTTGTGACAACAAGTTCCGATTCTGAAATAAGTAAGAATATGTGGGAAGTTCTAGTGATGAAATTGAAATGCATTCGGATGTGTAGCTAATCTAATTCGAGCGTCAGCGTGGCAAAATCGCGACGATGGGATCGATTCGGTCTCAATTAGTGGTGCTCGAAACCGAAGAAATGAGAACCGATCGAAAAAAGTCGAGGTGAAAACGAGATTTTTGTTTGGAGAATGTTAAAGGAAAAAAGCGGCTCGTCTAGCGCAGTGGTTAGAATTGTTTTCCAATACATATTGGCTCGATCGCTCGTTCCGGCCTCACCAATCCATCCAAGATCGGCAAATTGATACCAAACCTGTCTGGGAGCAGAGTAGCACTAGCCCGTTACATGCATAGTTATCGCGAGTCATTTTATAGGTCGGTTATGCATTCAATCATTTCTTATGACGCTTAATGAAGTCGAATGCATGGTGCATCCCTCAGGCATTGATCAACGTCGTGAGCTTTGTCCTTTATCCTTTTAAACGGAAAGGGATGGCGCACTAATCGTGCCTCCTAAACAGTTATCAGAGTCACTTTCTTATTTTTGCATCATTTTTGTAGGGTTATCTAAGCTACACACCATGACCACTATGCGCACTTCTCTCGCTAGACAGGTACCATTGGGCATCATATTTTTTTGCATGAAGCCCTAGATTTTTATTGTTTTTGGCGAGGTAGTTCTTAAGAGCCTCTGGTAGGCTCTGTCATGGTGTTGCGCATATTTACAAGTACCTTGTTAGAAGTAGATATTGGGTGATCTGCAGGATGCCTATTACCAAACCCCTTTCAGTTATGTGATTGAGAGCTTTTGGTCAAACTGTCGTGCAGAATAGAATGATACATACACGTAAGCTTATCCAGTCATGTATATATGTATATTCATATGTATATAGGCATATTAACATAATATAGATGTTACAGTACAAGTCAACCGCATGTAAGAGACCCAGATAATGAATCTACCTCACCCAATCACTGCGTCGGAGCAAGTCTATGATCGTTTCTGTTCTGCACTTCACTTCTTGTCCACCTCCTGGCTAGGTGTCACGTTGCTTCGCGACTAATCAAACCAATATCTTTTACACAAAGGAGATCACTGAACATCCTTCAGAAGAAGACAATTATAAAATACTCACCGTCACCGACTAAGTGATTTTGCTACAGCATTCAACAAAATATGACTTTGTAACTAAATTGTAGTACTGTTAGCTGTGTGAGTTAAATTCTTCCTACAATCGTTTCCATGAAAGGATGTCTGGATTGTTTAGAGTGGCAGTTTCACCACAACGTGGATAACTTCCATCTTATGAACCAATTTAATTAGGACATCTTCTTCAGCTTTGATTCCAGCATAGGGAACAAAAGAAAACAGATTAGTGATGAGGTTCATCGTCACCATTACTATCTCTCACAACAAGGTGTGATGATCGCGTTGATGAATTTCTACTTCAATTTTCTCATGTTTTATTGCAGTGACATCTTAGAAAAATCGAAAATGAGATTAACAATTCAAATGGATGTGACGACATTCCTCCTAAGCATATGCATGTCCTCATCTCCTCAAATAGTTATCAAAAAGTCATCCACTTGCTAAAATGACAGCCATTGCCCGCCCATTTGTACGAGTTGCTCGCTAGCCAAGTGATTTGTTAAAGCAACGCACGCTGAGGAAATGGATTAGAATTTTGACATGGCAAGAAAGAATTCAGAAACAGTTTCGATCTTTTTTGCACGTTTCAAAAAGTTACCGTAGCGGTAAAGAAGATTAGGGTTTGCAAAAATGTAATAAGTGAACGGATGGTTATGTACGAGTAAAGAAATCGTTTGAAATTTACTAATGAAATAACTTTTAGAGCAATGTTGCGATCGTCGCTGATCAAACATGTAAATCGTCAAAAATCCCCCGGTCGAAAGACGGTCTCGTTCTCGTCGAAGAAAAACGATAAGATGATTTCTAACGGTAGGAATCCGTTTAAAAACTACATAGTGCGCCGAGGTCGTTTAAAATATAGGTATTGATTGACAGCGTTGGGGATTTATGTGTCTTGAATCTAAACTAATAATTTTTGAATATATTCAGTTGCTTAATTTAAATGTAGAGTAGTTTTAGATGCGGTATTTATAAACTTTACATTAGCAGCAGTGTAGTATTATCATAATATTGTTTTATTGGAGTGTTTTTTACCTTAGCGGTGTTCAAAGTTATCAGCGACCGTATTGTTTAGTTAGTGACTGCTGGCATTTTATGCAGAATGGTAGTGAGTTCATCAAGCTTCGTGGCCCAGCAAGACATTTCCGACGATTTTTCAGGTGAATCCAAGCTTTTTTATGAGATGGATTTCCTAAAAAGGTTACCATAGTATTGTAGTAACAGAACTGTAGGAACAGGACGCTTGAGAGGGAATAAGCGTCCCAACTTTGCCATTTTCTTCAGCAATCTATAAAAATCGTTAATATAAATTTTTACAGTCTCGACGCCAATCTTTCGCATATCAGATGGACTCCCACTAATAAGAAACCTCACAAGGCTAGAAGTAAGTTATTCGTATGAGAATTTCACTACCATATTCCTAAAAAAGTAGTCAAGTTATTTGCTAATTAGTAACTTTTTTATATACTAAAGTGTGTAGTTAAAAGGCTTCTCCGATATAAGTAGTATTCATATTCATCTTTATCTTGTCATTTCCATATTTTCATCTCTATCCTACCTCTATTCTCTTGCCTATTATATGGTTGTGCGTGCCCCAGAAAAATTTCGATTTTTCTGAAGTCTTGCTGGTTTAGCTAATGTGTTTCCCTGAAGTCCTGAGAACAGCTTGGCCAAAGTCTGCCCCAAGGTCATCACCATCAAAGGCAGAAGCAGCCCTTGCGGATCAGAGAAAGATTTACCACCAGCGACTAGTTTGATACCAGGACGGTGGTGGATCCTGTCTACTCTTAGTTGGGCGTTCTGATGGAAACTCCGTACTCACTGTCAGCTTAGGAGGTTCTGATAGTGTATGGTTCCCTCGCTGTACATCGCAGCCTGGCACCCAGGAACACCTTCGGTCCATGATGAAGCGGTAAATCGTTGGGAGGTTTTCCTAATATTCAGTTCACAATTTGAAATCTTCTGTTTATAAGCTTATTTAATTAGTCTGCTTATTTGTTTTATTTTTACTACTTAGTTGCCATCGATGATATTCGAGAAATCCGCATAGGAAAAAATACGGAACAGTTGCGCCAAAGTGATGCGAACATCGCTGATCTTCAGGTATTTGAAAGATATATGTATACATGTATATTTAGATATTAACTCAGGATAATAATTTTGTGCTTAAATTGAGTCGTCGGTCTTTCATGGTATAGAGCTAAATGGTCAGGAGTAATTCATGCATAAACTAGAACTAAAAACAAGGAAAGCGCGAGGAAAGACGATTTGGGATGGTGACTTCAGTAATTGAACAGTTCCATTTTAAACAATATTAGGAGTAAGATAACACTTTTCAATAATGAATTTGGCTTTTTTATAGTATGATAACTGTCGTAATAGCGCTTGTAAAACACGCCATGTATAGTGATCGCCTGCATTGATATCAACGCCCGCAGTGATGAGCAAAGGGGTTATTTTTCTGTGAAGAATTTGTTTGCCACACTTTTTTTATTCAATCGATAACCTATCGAATACAAGGGTTTTGTTAAACACAGTAGATATGAAAAGCTGTACTCTATGTTTGCAAAAAGACTATTTTTGGATGAGTTTTCTAAGGAATACGGTGCGTCGCTGAGAATTAGGGACACTTCCAAGCGGCGTGAACGTAAAATTAGGCGTAGATGCCTACGTGCTAGAACTGTGAAATGTAGCAAATTCATTGTAAATTTAAAAATAGGAGAGAAAAGTAGCACACTTTCGGAATCCAACTGACATCGTTCATTGTGATTTTTTCTCTCCAAACTATCTTGCCACTTAGTGAATCCTCAGCTTCACTCAGATGAATTTGAATACACATCTTATAGAATTCCAATTGTTTAAAGCTTTGATGACGTGGTGTTGGTGTCACCACCACAGCCACGATCGCCATCTACGGATTCAGTATGAAGGGGTGGGCACCGCTTGATTTACTGATTGGTGATGAATTTCCAGGAAGAGTGCTTATTCTCGGTGATTTACGGTGACGACTATGAGACACTGGATTTGGTAGCTAGTTGTGGTGAAGACGCAAATATATGGGTAACTGGTTTAATGGCACTCACATCCACGAAGTGTCAGTTTTTTTATATTTGACTACCTTCTTTTCTGTTATTGAGAAAAGCAACACTTGAAAAGCTGAAATTCACTAACTACAGCTTTATTCCAACTTGTGCGGACATTTCATTGTGACCCTGTCGAAGCTTATCCGTAAGCGAACTTATCAACAGACCATAAATTTGTTAACGGGTTTCCTTAAACTGTTCATTGGTTCGCGATTTGTGCTAAATCACAATGGCACGAACCTAGGAAGGGTTTTTGGTCATAGTAACTTATTAGTTAACATTTCCTATGAATTTCACTAGTAATGAAAATCGTTTATATCGTAATTTTACCCTGTCGACTAGTGATCAGTTAGCAACTATGTGACAAATGTCAATTTTTCCTCGATTCTTCCGCTTTCTTTGGGATCTCTCGTGAGCTCTCGTTTTCTTTTCAGACGACTGCAAACCAACCACAATGGCATGGGCGACACTTCGTGAAAGGTTTGTGTGGCAAACCAATCATTTAACAAAGCAGTTCATAAAACAGACAAATTACAAATTTATTTATTAAATTTATTTGGAAGAAAACCATGGGTTCTCTGCTTCTCATAATCCCTCTTTTTTCTGGATTTCTTAATGACTCAAAACCACCCACAAAATCTCATAGTTGCTGTAATACAATGGTTTTTTTCTCACCGTTTTTGGTCGTGTTACGTGCTATTCATGACCTCATGAAAAGTAGCTTAAACAGTAAACCTTTTTTTACTTCAAACAAAGTGTAGTTTCTGTTAATAAACCGACTTTCATTTAACCTTGTTGTGAACAGTCAACAGATTTCTTTAGATTGTTTAGCTTAAACGAAGTTATAGAATTTCTGTTCGATCAACGTCTCAACATCTTTTCTTCATCATATCCGATGATCTGAGTCGGTTAATCCGAGTTGGAATTCGGTTTATTAACAGTACCATAGGGTGGGTGTGGCGTAGTGGTCGGAGGCGAACTACGACATATGCGTGGAATCGATCCCCGCGCGCATGGCCCACCAAGCCCTCCATCCTTCCGGGGTCAGCAAATTGGTACCAGACTTGTCTGAGAGGATAGCAGTGCTGGCTTAATACAACGGCAGGCCTCTGCGAGTCATTGCAAAAGCCATATATGCATTCAATCACCTCCAAACAATGCTTAATGAAGTCGAATGCATGGCGCATCCTGTTGCCGCATTGAGCTCCCAACTTTATATAAATACCAAGTCATTGTGAATATTAGTCCTTGTAGCTGCCATGCGAGTCTTTTGTGTGTGAGTCGCTGAGTCGAGCGCTGGGTTACCACTTTTATGATAATAGTAGTAATAACAACAATAACAGTAGAGCGAAGTATATGGGCGAATTAGGCGATATGAATGAACCGCATGGACACTGGACTAACGCTGCGAACACTTGATGACCAGTGGCCGTGGGCTGTTTGTATTACTTCTGTAGTGGATAGAGCTTTGCCAGAGGTAGCTAAAGACAGCGCCTAGAGAGAGGTTCTAAAGGTTTTTTCTACTAGCACAGTCTGATAGAGCTACATGTGAAAGGGCGCAACTGCTCGTTCGGAAACTTCTTTGGAACGCAGATGCTGGAAAGTACATTCGGCTGACTGTTGTTGATTCATTGCCCGAACTGTCGGACAAGGAAGAGCAGTTTGTTGAAAGAAGTTATAGAATCCCTTTCCAGCCACCTTCGAGACAACTGCATGAGACAGTGGTTAAGAAGCAATTTAGAGAAAATGCGAAGATAGATTTAAGATAGTTACAGGTGAACAAGAAACATACACTAGTATAGAAAGTGGGAACTATTTGATGAATGTATCTTTGTACTTCTGTTCAGCAAACACGAGGTGCTATTTTATTTCTTTATTTGCGCACAAGCTGACGTTTCGGCGGATTTCGCCTTCCTCAGAGCCTGGAAAGGTCAAGTTGACTACAATCTACACGGCCAAACACCTCCATAAGCAACCAGAGAAAATGCTGAACCAAGATTTCAATCACATTTAGCATAGCTTTGCACGCTCACCGCTTTCTATGAGTCTTCCACTGAGTATGTCGCGTGAAGACCGACCGCACAGAATTCATATGGAAGCGTAATGTGCCCCTCCCATCAGAATAACAGGCTTCGTATAGAGGGCAGGGACGTCGAAGGACTCCACCAAGTACGCGCTGTTGGGTCGCGCGTTACGTAGACGATCCAGGAACATTTGGGTGTTCGTTAGATGAGTTGGAATGTCGTCTGAGAAGGAATTTAAAAGTCAATACCAAAAGTTAAACAACGAATGGGTTAAAGTGGCAAGAGCGGATGGGTTAAAACCATCAAGTTATCTCTCATCTCAAAATTGACTTACCAACATGTCCCGCCCTGTACTTACTTATCAAAACCCATAGGTTAGTATCCAGCGATGATTTCGTGTCTACCGGTCCATCGTTATTTAAGGTTAGACCTATCATTAGCTGCGTGGACGGGCCAACGGATAGAATAACGTGGTTAATAACCCTAATACTTACTCAGTTGTTGAAGTACATTCCAACTCATCTAACGAACACCCAAATGTTCCTGGATCGTCTACGTAACGCGTGATCCAACAGCGCGTACGTGGTGGAGTCCTTCGACGTCACTGCCCTCTATACGAACGTGTCGAATGGCTCCGATATGCAATCCATCCAGGAGCTCCTCATACAACAGGAAGGAGCAATAAACATGTATGGCTTCTCGATTCAGCAGTTGATGACACTCTTAAAGGAGTGCCTAAACTGCTCAATCTTCAGATGGTCCGGGAGATATTACGCACAAATAAGAGGGCTGGCAATGGGACAACGACTGGCACCAAGCCTTGCCATTGCATTCATATCTAAGGTGGAAGTGCCAGTAATCGACCTCGGTCCGTTACTCTGCTGTAGATATATAGATGACAGCTTGGTCATTTGTTCAACGCAAGAAGAAATCGACAGATGTTTCTAGTTGTTGAACACACAGTCAGAGTATATTATATATTGTATTTATATAGTATTTGATGAATAGTTCCTTACATTCCTCAGGGGTGGATCAACGACGAGAGCTTTGTTCTTCTTAACGCTACTACTTTGCTATTAAACACAAAATATGCCTCATTCAAGCGATTCTCACTGATAAAGTTCCGATTCGATGCGATGACGAAGATGCCACATCGAGAATGCGAACGACGGTGAACATCGAGTGTAAGCTGATAAAATCGAAAGAAAGTGCACTTAGCTGTAATCCGAAGCGGAAACCAATCATGTGATGACCCGATCAGTGTTGATGAAGTGATCAACGATTATAAAGGCACTGTGAAACGGAAATTTTTTTGGCAGAAATTGTTTGAACGACTCTTAATGTTTTAATTTTTATTTGACCTTGATCAATAGTCTTCAAGTAAAAATAGCATTTCCCGTAACATTTACGTTTTCTGTAATAAAGTTCAACTAATTTAGTTAACTAAGACAGCTTCATGGAGGCGCGTATGGCCCCCCGCAACACAGATATGAGATTGATCCCGGCACCGGTGTCCTAACAAGCCTTCCATTCCTCCGGGGTCGGCAAATTGGTACCAGACTTCTCTGGGAGGTTGGCAGCACTGGCTCAATGCATCGATAAGCCACCGCGACTCATTTTAAAGGCCGGATATGCATTCGATCGTCACCAAACCATGCTTAATAAAGTCAAATGCATGGTGCATCTCTCAGAGATTGATCAACGCTGAGAGCTTTTTATCTTTTGGCTTTAAAACAGTTTCAGTATGACAAATTCATTCATAAACACTTGTATTCTTTCTAGTAACATGAATTATTTAGGTTTTACGGGAAGAGATCCAAGGTTATTTAAATGATCTAGTTATGGAACCGTGAACTAATCCAAATTTTATTTCAAAATGGCTTTGAAGCTCTCATTTTTCAGTTTTAATGCTACAGTGCAAAATGTGGCGACACCAACCGTTAAGCGTTTCTTGTTTTTTCTACCTGAAATATTCATGAAGAATTATTCTCATCATTTTAGCCTTTTCAGGATTAAGAAAAGCCAGATATTTTAGACAGCTGACAAGAAATAGAACTAAATCATATTTACCCGGCTGTTCAAAATAGTTTGATGTCCAGGTTTTCGTTCTCAAGAAAAGCTTAGCCTTAACAACTTGTTTTTGTGAAATGTGCTCCGTGCGTGTCCACTTAGGGGCAAATCCAGAAAATAGTTTGCTTCTTGTCACTGAAGAATAATACAAAATTTACAACTGACAAAAGAAGAGTTGATGTCTTTAGGTGGTTGGGTACTGTATTCGATGAGGAAGATCCGGATCAAATAGGCTTTATCGACGAGAATACGGCTGTACATCTGATTCGGCAGACAAATCCAACTGTGTCACTTAACAGAATCAGGAATAAGGTTAAGGTTGGTCTATCTAAAGTGTATTTAGTTTTTCGTCTGCATTTTCGTTACTGCAAAGAAATTTCCAATTCTCTCTAGGCATGGTGGATTACACCTTGGTTTTTCTTCTACTCTTAACACCTAGGTCCATCCACTAATACTCTCATTTTATTTGCTGTCTAACAACCACCTTCCGTAGAAGTGTATGGGTCCGTGCACAGGTTCAGTTGCAGCTCGGCTGTTGCTTTTCCTTTCCTGTTATCACCGACACAATGAATGCTCGTCGGTCTTGATTTTTTCCAGAATTTTGACACAGATGTTCTCAGGGTGTCCCAGGTCTTCACTGAAAGCAGTCGTTGGTCGTGGTTGGAATGATGCTTAATGCTTTGCAACTAAGATTCTTCCTTAGCAGTAGCGAGTCCTACTATAAGTTCCTATTCTCCTATTTGATGATGTTACAAGCCTAATCCTGATTTTCTGAGCACTTTTTCAAGATTCTTTTATGGAGATGTAAAAATTGAAAATAGTAGATTTAAATGACATTCACAATGAGCTATTACCGAAGGAATTACAAGAATACAAATTTATAGTCGTATTTGTTTGCTACTTTCCATGAAGAAAAGTCATAGTGATATCTCCTGAA